TTAAAAAAAACACAAGCCAATAAAATAACCACACTTTTACTGAAAGTAACACAATAAAACTGGACAGAAATTATATTAATATTGATAACACTTTACAATAAGGTTCATTAGTTAACTACTTTAGTTAACATAAACTAAGCATGAACAACTGTAAAGTGTTACCGCATTTTTTAATGCATTTCCTTTTTAAAGTGCTGTCATGAACTTCATAAAACCTTCTAATTTAGTTTTCCAAGTTTACTTTAAACATCACTTTTTTTGCACATGCACTGCTTGTTTAAATGTGTTATTACATTTTTTATCTATAAAAGTTCATCAAGCAATCATTCAAATATTTTTAAGCAGTGAAAGTTCAACAAAAGGCACTTTAAAATGACAACTGCAAAATTCACACGTGATTCCAGCATTTCATATCAAAAAGTCTGTTACTTACCCGGCTATGTCTCTCTAAATAATATTTTTTGCGTTATGGATTACAGTCCATTCTGGCTCAGATGCACAGGTGAACGCTGAGAGATTCTGATGTATGAATGCTGCTCTCATGAGCTCTAGAGTTTCACTGAACGCTCCCCGCTGATCTGCGACTGTAGGGACCTACATCTTCAGCAGTTAAAGGTGCAGAGACTCACTGAGTGTTGACAGAAGGCGAGTCTCTCATCCATACAGCTAGTGTCACGATGCCACTAACGATAAACAATGCTCCTATAAAAGCACTGCAAGAGTCCTTAAGTGATTATAGTTTGGAATGAAACAAACTGCATACTACTCAATGTATCATTTATACCACACACTACTTTTAAGTAAAATAGTTTGTTTAGTATGTGACACTTACCACTAGACTTGTGTCGGCGTTGTGTAATATGGTTTGTACACGCATGGTATTATCATTGCACATTAATATCTTTTATGTCAACCGGTTACCATTTATAACACTGTGTGTATGCTGCATAAAAGACTTTGAAGTAAACAACCCCAATATGGACCAGAAGCATGGTGGACGAAGGGATGCTGCTGATACTTTATGCTCCTTCTAAAAGGGTAAAGCTGTAAATCTGTAGGTTTTGAAGTACAGTATATTGGGTTCCAAATGTTTTGATGTGTTCACATAAAAAAAAAAAAAAAACATATCTCTGTATTTTTAGGCTGAATGGCAATGCTGGGCGGTTTGACCAAAAATCTGAAAATGTTCTGATTATTTATATTGTTCTTTATAATTGTGTTGTTTTTACATATTAATCTGTCTCAAACATTTGTTTACTTTTTACATTTTTTACAGTGTATTTTTTTTATTTAAATGTTCAAAGCTTTTTGAAAAACGTTATTAAACTTGTCAATAGGAGGAAGTTTATCTTTTCAGCCTGTTTTTGTAATGCAATTCAGTACTGTCTGTGATAATACATCATGATATGAAAATTTGACTGTCACATGCCTACTTGTCACATAAGTCTGCACACATTTTTCCAATGTTTTTGTGTTGATTTTGGCATTATTAAGCATTTTTTACAAGTACTTTCTAATTATTCAAATCTACAATGGCAAAATCTTATTATAATAAAAAGAAGAAAAATAAATTTTTATTGCAAAAGATGGTCATCTGAGTTCTGTGCACTTTGTGTAAATGCTTAAAAATCAGGCGCATAAAGACTTAATTTGGGAAGTTGTATTAGGCATTTAAATGCAATCCTAATCCACCACTTATGGCTGGTAATTAATTCAAACTTTAATACTGAAGCTTAACCTCATTTCCGTTTCTTCTCTTCAAAACAAACATAATTTTCCTAAAACTAATCCACCCTTCCAAAATTCCTCATTGCTCATACACAAACAAATCATTTCATTCACTTTGTGGAGCAATAGAAATAAGTAAAACAATAACAACCAAACAACAATGACCCATTTAAACTAGATAATATAAGCCTACTTTTGAACAACTTCACTGAAGAACAAAATCAAGGCTGTGAGGGTTGATATACACTTGATTTTCACTATATTTATAAATGTTTTCTGCACTGTCAGAAAAAAAAAATAGCAAAAAAACTGTCCCTTTAGGGGTACAACAGCTTGTCACCGGGACAGTACCCTCAAAGGGACACCTTTGTACCTTCTTTACGCCTAAAGCGTGCATATTAGTACCTCAGAGTAGTAATATGTACCCTTGATGTACGTCAGTGTGGAGCAATGAGTTGTTGAACTTCAGCTGTTGAACAAAGACCAGCATGTAAAACAAACAGTGAGAAGAACACTTCTGTCACCAGGTCCACCGGGGGTCTGGCCCTGAGGTGCTGTACTCGTTAACTTCATGCCGAGTAAGGTTAACTGGGTGATTCTGTGCTATGTCAACAGCACACAAGGGTCTCACACATTCACCAATAAACACAGAGAGACTCGTGAAGATCTGTAAACAATTGCTGTCGAGGTAACAACAGCAACACCAGCGTGAGATTTACTGCTAAACCCGCAGCATTAGCATGAACTGAGGGTAAACATGACAGTGTTGCGCTTGTCTTCACGGGCCAATTACCAGATCTTGTCCCATAAGACTGCAAATACTTTTTAAATATTTGTGCTAGGGTGACCATATGTGATCTTTTTCCCGGACACGTCCTGGCCAGGATTTCTATATTGCCTAAAATATCCAGGTCTTGGCTTTGTTTTCCTGTTTTCATACTTGCTGAAGGTAATGATCGAAAAGTAGTTTGACCAATAACATGCAAGCATTGTACATAATCGACCAATCGTGGCGCTTGAGAAGGTGGGATCTACAGAGAACAGTCAAAGCGATGCAAATACATGTACATATCAGGTGTGTTCGACTTGAAGCAGCGCTGTGCAGCGAGAGCGATTTGAAATTATTTTATGTTTGAAAGCAAAAAAGGAATTTGCTGAAGATGAAAAGGCCCCTACAAGAGGCGATATGGGTTGGAAAAAGATCAGAGAAACATTAGGGCACTTTACACATGGTCCTCGGTCTCGTTGGTGGCCCATAAGAAAAAAAAAAAACACACAACTACTTAGATATTCATTTGTACACATAAACAGGTGCCATGATTTTCCATGTTACACAAACTGGCCCTTCAGAAGAATCTTGGAGCAGGTCGAGTTGCTATATTGAGTCACCAAGTGTCTGGACTGTGCCAAAAAATGGCCTCTTCTGAATGTCAGGTTGTAGACATGCAGACTTCCTGAAGGTTATATGCGTACTTGACTACTTGAGAAATATGAGTATACTTGAGTGACCACAAAAATAAATCATATGGTCTTATACAAGTTCTGTTAAATTAGGCTGGGTCATGTCCTCCAGACAAGATCGGACAGGTTTTTAGCAATATATGGACACTAAGCAAAGATATTCAATAGGATAATAGGATAAATATTCAATAGGATAGGAGAAATATTAAACAACTTCATAGCAAAATAATAGTAATGCACCAAAATTTTGACAACCAAAAATTTAAAGCAATTAGATTTAAGCAAAAACAACAACCATTTCTTTGGTGTTTTGGCCATGTCCACATCTATTTTGTGCATACAATGTGGATAAGTTACAAGAGATAAACATGTTAGCAGTGCCAATGCACATTATATTGCAAAAGTAGCGATAATATGCAAAGTTTGTTTGGTTGAAATATCGAGTGGCAGCTTGTTGCCGAATAACTTTACTATGACTGGTTTAATTTACCTCCTGAGAACACAACATCCTGAACAGTAAAACGAGATCAACTGACAAATTTTTTCGTTTGTCTGCTAATTGAAAAAAGCATATTTGCAGCAGCATTTACGCATCGGTGTTCATACAGCTGGAGCAACACGTAGTCTAGACTAGAGCATGTAATCGTTCTGAGGACACGCCGATAGTTAAGGCCATGAGAACAAGTTTAAATGAAACACGCATCCTCGTGTATGCATTTCAACTGGGGTTCGCTGTATTCAGCAGCATAATCTCAATGTTACGGTTGTTTATTTCTAAGGTTGATGTTTTCATTAGCTGTGTGAGTGTGCGGTTGATTTCAGCTGCGTCAGAAGCACGCGTTTATCGCTCCTAATGGCTTCTATATAAGAATGTAATATCAATGACAGTCATTCAAAGCATTTCCGCAGTGTGTATGCTTCCCCTGCTGGACTGCCACTCAATACTTATTAGAGATTCATAATTTCTGATCCGCTTGAATATGTGCTCACGCGGAGTAATGTGAGCATATGAGCATGATAAATTGGGGTGATATGACGTGTTGATTAAATACATGATAAACTGGCTGAGATCAAGCTATGTTCATTTAAAAAATAAAAAATAAATCACTTCGGTGGTGATTGGAAGGTTACGACTGAGCGCTCAAACGAACACAAGGGATTTAAATATAGTCCAATTATTCTAAGCAAGTACAAGCAGCGCTTTAAAAAAAAATAAACGTAACTACAGTTGTTTTCCTCTGGTTCCTCACTTGCTAAGCTTGGGGTGATGCTTCCCCCATAAATATATTATTAAGCAACATTTCCTGCTAAGTTTCTTATTTCATTCTCATTGCTTAACGCTATGTTGGCAAATATGCTATTGTCAAATATTGCTCGTTGTT